GGACATGCTAAGTACATGATTACCTGGAAAAATCAAAATGATTGGCTCTATTTTCTAGGAATGATATATGGCTTTCCAAGTACCCCCCTTAAAATTATACCAGAGGGGGTATAAATCTGAATATTTCCAAAACGCTGAAAAACTAGACACCAATGATTTCAGAATCAATGTATTATAATAAACCGCAAATAACCTATATGAAGAGAAATTTGCTACTTTTCAAAACCACTTTTACACCACGCTCATCCAGTACTTATTTTCATCACAAAGGTTAAGTTTTAGTGGTGAGCCCACACTCCCACAACAATGATATTTGCAGCGAAGCTACTTTACAGTCTCTGCAATATACAGTTTCAATATATTTTTGTGGGAGAATGGGCTGATGGTTAAATTTTCAACGAAAGGAAATGAGCAACATGCTAAAAGTTGATAACAAAGTGAACAAAAATGACAATGTTTTCCAGATTTGCATTGGTAAACTTCGTACATAGCTAGATTTTTTTAATGTTGTACTCCGAATGCTTGTATGCCATATGTTCCATATAAAAAATTCTATGTAATGGTAAACATAGTGTGTACCCATATTCAGACAGCCTTGTGATAGGGGTTCTTACTGCCAATTTTTCAAAGAAACTGAAAACTAATGCCACTTTTTGAAATTGCACACCTCAAGAAAAAAGGTTTATCTACAACTTGCAATCGGTGTTGAAAGTAAATGGAAGAATGAGTTTTTTGGAAAAAGTCTAAGTTGACCAATAGCCTGTTAAATGGACCTGTTCTTTGTTACTATTGATATAAGCTAAAAAAAAGCTCCAAGAACGGTTAAAACGTGACTTTGGAGACCATGAATAGGTTTTAGAGGCTGAGGATTTTATTTATGTCTAAATATAAGTAATAATAGAAATCCTCCATATGAAATGCCAAGATGGCCACCAAAATAAGTGCCAAAATGAATATGTAAACTATTTATATAAACTCAAAGAACAGTTAAAAAGTGCTTTTGCAGACCATGATAGGGTTTTAGAGGTTAATACAGATTCCATCCATGGATAAATCTAAGTGATTACAGAATACATTTATATAGAAATTTGAAATGGCTACCAAAATGGCCAAACATATGGCTGCTAAAATGAATTTATACGCACATAGAAAAGTTAGAAAAGTAATGTACGTAATAGATATCTGAAACTAAGTTTCAGGGGAAAATAGTTTCAATTTAGCCTTACTTTACCAAAGTCATCTTGACCTATCCTCATACTAAAATCCAAAATGATCACCAAAATGGCTGCCAAAATGAATATTTACATTTCACTGGGAGCCAGAACTGTAGATTTAGTTGTAGTGATACAGATAAACACTGGTGGTGCTAGTGGAGATCCCATTACATTAAACTGCCACAGACAACTTATGCTTAATAGCCATGAATGCAACTGGTATTACACTGGTTACACTGGTCAGTTCACTTATGCACTTTGAATGGCCAACATACTTTTCCCAACAATTTCTTGCATTGTCTGGAGTAGTAATATAATGTGATATATTGTTCTGTATGGTTTAATTATTTAGTCATTATTTATTTTATAACATGCACTTTTCTTGACTTCAAATTAATCAGTATGCATTTAATATTAATGGTGTTATCTAAAAGTTGTTTTTGAGAGAAATGATATATGTAAATGTATGCTGTTTCAGTGCAAAATCATTTAGCCCTAACTATGTCTTTTATGAATGTGAAAAGTCTTAACTTACATATTACAGGTTCTTGGAGAAAGTATATTTTTAAGAAGTTTATCACTTACTGTCTCAGGTTGACACGCCAAATAATATTTCATCAGAGTTGTTATTCCATTACATAATTTTGGTTTCACTTAATTTTGATTTATATTATCCTTTATTTCAGCAAATTTTGTTTCCACAGGTCATAAAATGTTTGCAATCATTTTTTTCAGTATTTCAGCAAGATTTGTTACATTCAGTTTGTGTTAGGGAAATGAAACTTTGGTTTCAAGTATGGATTATGTGAGAGTGATAGTCCAGTGATAGTATGATTTTAAACACATTTTTCTCAAAATCTGATTCTGGCACCGCTTGGAAATCTTTTGACCTGCATCGGAGACACTTTGAACAACACTAATGAAGATGTTTGAGAGTGGTGCCAGAATCAGATTTTTCATTATAATAGATTAATGTTAATGGTCATTAAGAGAGTTTCAAATCTTCAAAGAGAGTGGCTGAGAGTAAGACCACAGAAATCCCTAGAGATCATCAATGATACATCTCTATCTCTACTAAAGTGATGTTTAGATATTATCCTTGCAACATATTTAATTTCAATCTGAATTTATCAATCTGGTGGTATATGATAGACTGTTAAAGAATATCTAAAAATATTACAAGGGAGGCCATTTTGAAGCAGAAGGTATCACTAAGCAACAACTCAGAAAGAGGCTCTCTGCTGTATCAGCCTTGGCTATCAGGTTTCACAAGGCTGCTTAACTAAGTCTTGTGAAGTTTACTATACTGGCTCCCAGTGATGTACATTCATGTATATCTATAAGCATTAACAGAGGATGTTGGCAGGTGATTGTGGTATCTTTGACTAGTTAACTAGGATCTAGGGATTGAGGATTTCAGTTACCACTGAAATTTTTCTTTTTACTTTAATTGTTAAATTGTTGTCTTGATGAAAATCAAAGATGGCTGCCAAAATCGCTGCCAAATTGGCTGTTGGTTAAGTTTTTACCTATTTTCTAGCTTATTTCTCTCTTTATCTGTTATAGCCTCTATATTTTTCAGTGTTCTTTGTTGTTTTCATTTTTGTCTTTATTTTTGTTTTCTTTCTTCTGTTTTCTTTGCTGCCTTTCAATTTTCTTGTTTTATTTGTGTTTTCTCATTTGTGTTGTCTTTGTTTTTTCATTTTCTTTGTTTTTCTCTTTTTCTTTTTTCTTGGAATTAGAGTCAATAAGAGCTTTCGGGATACACCAAAATTTAACTTGTCCATTGTCAAGAGCTGATTCCCAGAGTGCTAAAATAATTATAAACCTTTTTTGGGTGTGTGTTTGTTGAGATAATTGGAACCAAAGTTGCCTATCTACTCACAGGTAACCTTTGCAAGTTACCCCTTCTTATTCTGTTGATGTTGCTCTTTCTCCTCAGCCTCTGTTGTTGTAATGGAAGTTGCATAGTTGGAAAAGTCATAGAACAACACCAAACTGAAAGCATGAGACTTTGAACCAACTTCCTACATGGCTAAGGTCAATAGCTTTCATTCATTTTTCTAGTTCTCACAGATGCTGTTGAATACCTTTAAGAAACTCATCAAAATATTTCCCTATATACTCAATTCTCTCATCATGGATAGTATGAATAATTGTACATCTGCTGCCTTTGTATACCATTCAGCTGAAAAGATTCCCTGGATTGCACTGAATATATGCCAAACTGGCCATCATCTCGAGGCAGCTTAGAATCCGTTGTGCTCCAGGGAATGACTAGGTCATAACAGTGATGATGTCCATAAAGGCTTGGCAAGAAGGATGTTTTGTGTCATCATTCACTTTGAGACCTCTTTACTTGGACTCTTCTGCTTTCACAATCCAGTTCATTGCTGCGATGAAGAGAGTACAATTGAGATAGTACATCCCATCATGGCCATCTTGGATATTCAAATAAATGTATTCTAAAATTACTTATTCTTTTGGCAGCCATTTTGGTTGCCATCCTGAATATCCAAATAAAATAATTATTTGATGACTAAGTTTTAGACGTAATTAAAGTTCTCGACCATTGAAACCTAGATATGGTCTCCAAAATCACTTTGAACATATATTAATAGTAACATATTCATTTTGGCAGCCATCTTCGATTTCCACATCAAGTTATTCTTTGATGACTAAGACAATAAAATCATTGATCCTCTAACACTTTCATGGTCTACAAAATTAATTTTTATCTGTTCTTTGAGCTTATATCAATACATGTAGTTGCATTTTCATTTTGGTGGCCATCTTGGATTTCCATATAAAGCAATTATTTGCTGACTTAGACTTAAATGAGGCATAAATGAAATCCTTGACCCCTAAACCCTTTCATTGTCTACAAAATTGCTTTTCATCTGTTCCTTGAGCTTGCAT